CTTCTCAACTGCACATGGAACATTCTCCAAAATAGATCATACACTGGGTCACAAAACAGCCCTCAATAAATATAAAAGAATTGAGATCATACCATGTGTATTTTCAGACCACGATGCTATGAAACTTGAAATCAACCACAAGAAAAAATTTGGAAAGCCTCCAAATGCATGGAGGTTAAAGAATATTGTACTAAAGAATGAATGGGTCAACCAGCCAATTAAAGGAGAAATTTAAAAATATATGGAAGCAAATGAAAATGAAAACATGGCAGTCCAAAGACTTTAGGATGCGGCAAAGATAGTCCTAAGAGGAAAATACCTTGCAATCCAGGACTATCTCAAGAAACAAGAAAAATCCCAAATACAAAACCTAACTTCACACTTAAAGGAACTAGAAACAGAGCAGCAAAGAAACCCTAAAGCCAGCAGAAGAGAAATAATAAAGATTAAAGCAGAAATAAACAATATAGAATTAAAAAAAAAAAACAAACAGTGAAAACAGATCAATGAATCTAAGAGCTGGTTTTTTGAAAGAATAAACAAAATTGATAAAACCCTAGCCAGTCCTCTCTCCAAAAGAAAAGAGAGAACCCAAATAGGTAAAATCATGAATGAAAGAGGGAAGATCACAACCAACACCACAGAAATACAGTTATTAGAGAATACTGTGAAAAATTATATGACAAGAAACTGGACAATCTGGAAGAAATGGACAAATTCCTAGACACCTAAAACTCAAACAGGAAGAAATAGAAAATTTAAACAGACCTATAACCAGCAAAGAAATTGAATCGGTTATCAAAAATCTCCCAGCAAATAAGAGTCCTGGGCCAGATAGCTTCCCAGGGGAATTCTACCAGACATTTAAAGCAGAATTAATACCTATTCTTTTCAAGTTTTTCCAAAAAATAGAAACAGAAGGAAAGCTTTCAGACTCATTCTATGAAGCCAGCATTCCTTTATTCCCAAACCAAAGATCCCACTAAAAAAGGAGAATTACAGGCCAATATTCCTGATGAACATGGATGCAAAAATTCTCAGCAAGATACTAGCAAATCTAATTCAAGAGTATATTAAAAGAATGATTCACCATGATCAAGTGGGATTCATTCCTGGGCTGCAGGGCTGGTTCAATATTTGCAAATCAATCAATCTGATACATCATATTAATAGAAGAAAAGATAAGAACCATATGATCCTGTCAATAGATGCGGAAAAAGCATTTGACAAAATACAGCATCCTTTCTTAATAAAAACCCTCAAGAAAGTTGGGATAGAAGGAATATACCTTAACATCATAAAAGCCATATATGAAATGCCTACTAATATCATCCTCAACAGAGAAAACCTAAAAGCTTTCCCCCTGAGATCAGGAACACAGTGGGGATGTCCATTCTCACCACTGTTGTTTAACATACTGTTGGAAGTCCTAGCCTCAGCAGTTAGACAAAAAAATGAAACAAAAGGCATCCAAATTGGCAAGGAAGAAGTCAAACTTTCATTTTTTGTAGATGACATGATACTCTACATGTAAAACCCAAAACACTCCACCAAAAAACTGCTAGAACTGATCCATGAATTCAGAAAAGTCACAGGATGTACAATCAATGTACAGATCAGTTGCATTCCTATACACCAATAATGAAGCAACAGAAAGAGAAATCAAGAAATCAGTCCCATTTACAGTTGCACCAAGAATCATAAAATACCTAGGAATAAACCTAACCAAAGACGTAAAAGATCTGTATGCTAAAAACTATAGAAAACTTATGAAAGAAATTGAAGAAGACACAAAGAAATGGGAAAACATTCCATGCTCATGGAATGGAAGAACAAATATTGTTAAAATGTCGATACTACCCAAAGCAATCTACATGTTCAATTCAATTCCAGTTAAAATTGCACCAGCATTATTCTCAGAACTAGAATAAACAATCCTAAAATTTGTATGGAACCACAAAAGACCCTGAATAGCTAGAATAATGTTGAAAAAGAAAACCAAAGCTGGAGGCATCACCATCCCAGACTTTAGCCTGTGCTACAAAGCTATAATCATCAAGACAGCATGGTATTGGAACAAAAATAGACACATAGAGCAATGGAATAGAATTGAGAACCCAGAACTGGACCCACAAATATATGGCCAGCTAATCTTCAACAAAGCAGGAAAGAGTATCCAATGGAAAAAAGACAGTCTCTTTAGCAAATGGTGCTGGTAGAACTGGACAGCAACATGCAGAAGAATGGACCTGGGCCACTTTCTTACACCATACACAAAAATAAACTCAAAATGGATGTAAGACCTAATGTGAGACAGGAGACCATCAATACCCTAGAGGAGGGCAACAACAGGCAACAACCTCTTTGACCTTTGCAACTGAGGTTGCAGCAACTTCTTACTCAGCACATCTCTGCAGGCAAGGGAAATAAAAGCAAAAATGAACTATTGGGACCTCTTCAAGATAAAAAGCTTCTGCATAGCAAAGGAAACAATCAACAAAACTAAAAGGCAAATGACAGAATAGAAGATATTTGCTAATGACATACCAGATAAAGGTTATTATTCAAAATCTATAAAGAATTTACCAAACTCAACACTGGAAAAACAAATAATCCAGTGAAGAATTGGGCAGAAGACATGACTAGACACTTTTACAAAGAAGACATCCAGATGGCCAACAGACACATGAAAAAATGCTCAACATCACTCATCATCATGGAAATACAAATCAAAACCACACTGAGATACCACCTTACACCGGTCAGAATGGCTAAAATTAACAACTCAGGAAACAACAGATGTTGACAAGGATGTGGAGAATCAGGAACCCTCTTGTACTGCTGGTGCAAATGCAATCTGGTACAGCCATTCTAGAAACAGTGTAGAGTTTCCTCAAAAAATTAAAAACAGAATTACCCTACAACCCAGCAATAGCACCACTAGGAATTTATCCACAGGATACAGAGTGCTGATTCACAGGGGCACATGCATCCCAATGTTTATAGCAGCACTATCAACAATAGCCAAATTATGGAAAAAGCCCAAATGTTCATCAACTGATGAATGGATAAAGAAGATGTGGTATATATATACAATGGAATACTACTCAGCAATGAGAAAGAATGAAATTTTGCCATTTGCAACAATGTGGATGGAACTGGAGAGTATTATGCTAAGTGAAATAAGTCAGAGAAACATATCATGTGTTTTCACTCATATGTGGAATTTGAGAAACTTAACAGAAGACCATGGGGAAGGAAGGGGAAAAAAATAGTTACAAACAGAGAGGGAGGGAGGCAAACCACAAGAGACTCATAAATGCAGAGAACAAACTGAGGGTTGACAGGGGCGGGGGAGAGGGGAAAATGGGTGATGGTCATTGAGGAGGGCACTTGTTGGGATGAGCACTGGGTGTTGTATGTAAGCAATGAATCATGTGAATTTACTCCCGAAGCCAAGAGTACACAGTAACATACTGTATACACTGTATGTTAGCTAACTTAAACATAAATTATATTTAAATTAATAAATAATAAATAAAAAACGAAATTTAACCTAAAAAAAATTGGTGGAAGAAGTAATCCTGTGTATTGGTCCATAAGATTTAGAATCACCTGAGTCACTTATTAAAATCAGAGATGCCTGTGGCCCACCCCAGACCCACTAACAGAATCTAGGATAGCGGGACTCTATATTTTTAGTAAACTCCTTGTGATTGTGATGTGTAATCAATCAAAGTTGGGAGGAGCATCAGCATAAGCTCAACTCTGTGTAGTCTGATTAGAGATGTGCTACTGTAAGATTACACCAGGAGCAGGAAAGGGAGTAGTGTAGACACAGAGAACAGAGATAAGAACAGTTAGGCATACATGCACATGTGCAGTGGAGCCTTAACTACATTCACAACAATTGGAATAGAAAGAATCAAAATGTATTGAATTATGATGATGCAGATATGTAGATACTAGATAAATTTGGAGCACCTGGGTGGCTTACTCAGTTAAGCGTCCAACTTGGGATCAGGTCAAGATTTCACAGTTCGTGAGTTCAAGCCCCACATAAGGCTCTGTGCTGACAGCTCAGAGCCTGGAGCCTGCTTCAGATTTTGTGTCTCTCTCTCTGCCCCTCCTTCGCTTGCACTCTGTCTCTCTCAAAAATAAATAAAAATTAAAAAAAAAAGAATAGAGAAATTTAAGGAAGTCAGGCAAACTATCTCTGATTTAAATAGTTTGATTTGTATATACTAATGTCCACTAAATGTATCAAAACAAATTTTTTTTTAATTTTTTTTAATGTTCATTTATTTTTGAGAGAGAGAGACAGCAACAGAGTGTGAGAGGGCTAGGGGCAGAGAGAGATAGAGACACAGAATCAGAAGGAGGTTCCAGGCCCCGAGCTGTCAGCACAGAGCCTGACGCAAGGCTCAAATTTACAGGCCATGAGATCATGACCTTAGCTGAAGTCGGGCACTTAACCAACTGAGTCACCTAGGTGCCCCATAAATATATCAAAAATTTAACTCTCTAAAAAAATCAAAGTTTCAATGGTATTTCCAATTGAATACTATCTCCAAAAACAAATCATATATTTAAAATGTTTTAATAATAATTAACATTTAGAAAGTAAATGGCAGTGTTCAGTAACTATTGTACTTAATGATGTTAACATCAATTGGCTTTGTTGTAATAATAATGACTACATTTAATATTTTAAAACTGAGGGATATGGTAATTACATATTGATGAAATAGGCTTTTTACACTCTGGAAAAATAGAAATAATTGACCTAAGACATATATTATTTATTTAAAAATTAATCTAGCTATATTTCCCCCTACTATAGATTTAGACTAGTGGTTTTTAATTCACTAGTAATTCTTTCAAAAACAAAAATAAGATATATTAAAAGATTGGAGGTTTTTCCCTTTGATTTTTGTTTTTTGATTTCTGAAATGAGTGTGTTCTTTTCCTCTATAGGAGACTCTTTCTTCGTCCCAAACTTCAAGAACTTTACGTCTGTTTTCATGATTCAGTCACAGAAATTGCCATAGAAATGGCTTTTAAATTGTTCTTTGGATTAACCTTGTAGCTGTGTTTTCTTAATGCATAACAACTATGCATGGAACATTGAACAGTGTTAGGATTGCTGAAAACATACACAAGAAGATAAGGTTTAGCTTCTTTTAACTGTTCAGTTTTGAACATAATAATGTTAAATATTGAGATGATATGCTCTTGGGTTTGATGCACTAAATCTTACGTAGTATTGTCAGACTTTTGAAAAGATACTTGATCAAAATAAGAAGGGATTTTTAACTTATTTCCATTTTTGTATGTAATGTTAATTTATTGACTAGTTTGAAATAATGTGAAGTTTTATATAAAATTAATAGAGGAAATATTTATCTTGAGGAACTATTTATCTTGGAAAAATACACAGTTCATAAGTAAATTCACTTGTGTATTTTTCTTAAGACTAATGAGGATATCTGGTGAAAGAATCACAAAACTGGAGGATGTGACCAGGTCCTGTAACTAATTAGTGCTGTGACCATGAACAAGTTTTTGTACCTCTCTGAGCTCAGAATCTTCATGTATAAATGAGATGACTGCATTGAGACTTCTAAAGTCCCTCTTAAGTAACATGTGCAATTTTTTTTCTTCTTGCCTACTCATCAGTATCTAAATTTGTAATGTCCAAGTACTGACTCCTTATTAGATCAAATACTTTTCTTTAGTTTAAGTGCTTTAATAGATACCTCACTGTGGGGTAGAAGAACTAAGGAATGAAAATTAAACTTTTTTCTCTATTTATTTGATTCTCTTTACTCTTTCAGATCAGCTCTGTTTTGTCCAGAATATAGTTTTTAAACTATTTAGTGTCCATAAACTTTTATTATTTTTCTTTTTGTTGAAATATATTCAGGTATGCACACACATTTTATATAGTTCATGAATTTCAAGACAGCTGTATGTAAATCTTTTTACGAACCTAATCATGTTAAAAAACACTGAAAAACTTGGATTAAAGTAATCCTATGGTGACTTGTTAAGTACTAATTTTTGCCTTACAAATATGTCTCATTATGTGTTCGGTTTTCCCAGAGGGAGGTACCTTAATGAGCAAAAGTTTACTTGACCTTTAGTAGAGAAACAAAACTAATGAGATAAGAATTTTCTTTGACTGTGACAATTTGGTAGATTGAGAAGGAAGGAAAAACATAATAACTGCATTTTTTATTACTATTTACCTAATGGATCCTCCTGAAGTCTCAGATGCCCTTAAGACTACAATACTGGGTTTTTTCTTCTTCAGGACTTAAGATTTGGAAGGAAAATTATGCCAACACATGTAAAATCAGTTTCTATTTCCTTCCCCTCAGACGCCTGGAACATGAGCCCTCCAGGTTAGAATTAACTGTAAAACATAGTGGGTGCACCATTTGAAATATTTGGTCTTTTTTTTTAATTTTTTTTTTTTAACGTTTATTTATTTTTGAGACAGAGAGAGACAGAGCATGAACGGGGGAGGGTCAGAGAGGGAGACACAGAATCTGAAACAGGCTCCAGGTCTGAGCTGTCAGCACAGAGCCTGACGCGGGGCTTGAACTCACGGACCGCAAGATCATGACCTGAGCCGAAGTCAGCCGTTCAACCGACTGAGCTACCCAGGCGCCCCTGAAATATTTGGTCTTAAAAGAAACACTGTTACCTTTCTGTAATCAGTTTGAGAAATTTTCACCCAGGTATTTAAAGTGCAAATGACTATATTTGTCCTATTAGTGACTTGTGGGCCTTAAATTTAACATTGAAATCAAGGCAAGAAACTTTGGTTCTTGAAATGTACAAAATGGCTTAAAATATCCTCCCCTTAAGATCACAGTATTGGTCAGAATGGTAGACTCTTTACCACTGCATTAGTTTAAGGAACTTTGTTTATAAGTATTTATTAAATGTCTTAAATTTCTTAATATGTCCCCCAAACACCATGTGCTATTTTCAATACTGAGATGTATTAATAAATGCAGCTATTAATCCCCTCAGCTTTTCAAACAGACTGAACTAAAATATCTCAGGTTTTATTATAAGGGACTTTTTTTAATTTCATTTAATGAAATTTTGGTCTTTTGAACTGCTTTAATGGTGTCAAAGAATCTTGAGACCACCACTCAATAACTAAAATAAAAAGACAAAGTAGTCTACTTACCTTAATAAGAGGAAAATCCTTTGCTACATTGTAGATGTATAGCATAATGTTCATGTTGCAGAGACATTGCATTTTTAGGAAATAAAACCAAACATTGTGGTTGTCATCTCTAAATGGATATTGAAGTAAGCATTGTAACTAAATCTAGCTGCCCATTTTCCAGATTTATTGAGATGCACATCTGAAAGATCAATCTGACTATTGGCCAATGACTGCCTATCTGCCACTTTATTTAAAAAAAAGGGACAAAGTAAAAGTGCAGATACCCCAGAGGTATGTTTTAGCAGATACAGAAACATTCTTAAGTTGGATTTTATTATTAGCATCCTGCAAATGTTCCCTTTTACTAGACTATGAATGCAAAAGACTATAGAACTATCAATTTTGGGAAATACCAGGTACTATTTTATCATCACCATATATCTTGTAGCCCCCCCAAAATTATGTTTTAGATTCTACACCTTCCACCCTTCACCCTCCTCCCCTTTCTTCATTTGTTTTCTTTCTGTCGGGTGAGAGAAGTGTACTTAGCAAAGGAGAGTTTCTTATTTATGCCAAGAAACTGTTGATGATGATGCATACTGGCAAGATAGTAAATTTGCAGTGCCTGCTTTTTTATATTTCTGACACAAATGGGAGAAGTTGTGAAACCAATTTAGTAGGTTTGTCTGCTTTGAAAATTCTTGGAAATAATATTGTGAATAACTACTTGTTATCTGTGTAAGTTCCCCCTAAATAGTGCCTGCACAGTGCACACGCTGTAAAAGTGTTAGCTACTACTACTACCACCATCATCTATTATTATTATCCATTGGTTGAAAACCCAGGAGCCAGCTAAATCATACCTGCTGCTGTACAAAGTGTTGGGAAAAATCTGAGAAAAAAATTCAGCACTGAACACTTTGAGAACAAGGATGTATACTTTGGATATTCTAAAATACATTATTAAATGTTATTAAAACTTTAATCTATACACTAAACTGTGTGAAAATGATTTAATTTTCTAGAGTTGTATTTCTCTATATAATGAAGCTATTTTTATATTGATAGTCTTAAATAAAGATGGTTTGGAGGTATGTTTGCAGTTGTGTTGTCCTTTCATGCATTCAGCCAACAAATATTTATTGACTTTCTACTCTGTGCCACGCACTGTTCTGGATGCCAGGGGTAAAGCGGTGAACAAAACAGCTAAAAACGGACGTTCACGGACCTGATGTTCCAGTGGAAGAGGAAGGCCACAAATAAGTAAAATATGTTGATAAAAGCTAAGAGGGAAAAAAAAGTGAAGGAAGAAATTGGATAGGAAGTGTGAGAAATAGGGTAGCCAGAAAAAGGGTTACTGAGGTGACCCTAGACCTGAACTAAGAGGAAACTAACCATGCTGATTTCTAAGGAAAGCAGAGTGAACAGCTCAAAGGCCCTGAGATGCTGTACTTTTATATCAACATGTAAATCACCAGAACTTTTTTTGATCCCAAAATCAGTAAATAAAATGCAATGCAGCTGGTGAAACATTTTAAGCTCAGACTTTAGAAAAGAGCTGATCCACAGCTCTTAAGATAAAAAGCTACATTTCTAAGTATTTTCACTTTTGCTATCTTCTGTCAATGGAATATATGTCAGAAATAAGCTTGAGGATATGATAAATCAGTGTGCTATAAACATTGTCAACTATAGGGTCAAAAATGGGGTTTCAGGGGAAAGGGAGTCAAGAAAGGAAGGAAGAGAAAATTTGCCTGGGGAACAACAGAACACTTGCTTTTCTGTCTGAGATATATATATGTTCCTTGGGACAGGAGATCTTCCTTTGACCTCTCTTGGCACCTTAAGAACACAATCTTGCCTGGAATGTGATTCAAGCATTCCCTGTGCCCCCTTAAATTTCTCCCTGTGTGCTTGTTAATACTTTAATATCCTATAAAGGAGACCGAAACCTCTTTTATTATTCATATTTTTGCAGATAAAACATCAATCACGTCTTGAATTTGCATGGATTTCACAAAGGGTTTTGAAATCCGTGCAATGAGAAGACTTTAAATCTTTTAAGCCTAGGAACAATTAATGCAATTGCTTCAGAAAGCTTAATCTGGTAGCAGCATGTAAAATGGAGAGATTTGGCCGTAAAACCAGTTAAGGGTCGAATAAGCTGCCATGGAAAGGAAGGTAGCACCAAAATGGTACCAGCAGGACTTGCCACCTGCTTTTGTATGAGGTAATCAAAATATAAACAAAATTCCTGCTCTGGAACCCTGGCCTACATATGGTTTTGTACTAGTGACAAGTAGTATTAAAAGTGTTATAACACACATAAGATAAAAAACTAGAACCTCAAGTTCAAACAACTAACTCCTACAGAGTAAGAGATGATAAAATAGGATCTCTTTATTAGAAACCATCAAATAAGCTATAAAGAAAGAAATCAGGAGTATATTAGATGCTACTACAGAAAGATTTCCAGGATGTACAAAGTGAAAAAAAGCAAGGTGAAAGAAAATACAGCAAGACCTCATGTCCAGGATAGATGTATGTCTACTGCATATACTTGCCCAGAGTCAGACCTGAACCTGGTAACACTCCAGATGAATTCTCAAAACTGTGGTATGCATATAGATGTCACCAAGACCTCCTCGGAGACACCATGAGATAAAAACTTTACTTAAAAAAATTTTTTTTTCATCATTTATTTATTTTTGGAGACAGAGAATGAGCGAGGGAGGGGCAGAGAAAGCGAGGGAGACACAGAATCAGAAACCGACTCCAAGCTCTGAGCTGTCAGCACAGAGCCGGACACCGGGCTCAAACTCATGAACCACGAGTTCATGACCTAAACCAAAGTCCGAGGCTGAATGGACTGAGCCCCAGGCGCCCCTAAGAACTTTTCT